CCGAGTACAAGCCACGACCGACCCGGCTTAGCTTCAGAGATCTGATGAAATCGGGCTAGCCTGGGCCACCCAGGTCAGGGCGTGGGCTCAGAGCCTGTGTCCGCTCAGTATCTGTGGGCAGGGGTCGTTTCGTAGAAAAAGAGCTAGGGGGACTCATTAGCATAACTCATTAGCATATACCACACCCCCTGACATCACCGGAAGTGTGTCATAAGGCCACACCCCCTGACATCACCGGAAGTGTGTCATAAGGCCACACACCCCACCCCCAATGGTCCCGGCCGCCGCTGCCGGCCTTGCAGCTCCACCATGAGGGGCCCGGCGGTGGACCTGCAAGGCCGTCGGGAGTGCAAGGAAGCCCCGCAAAGGCCCTCCCTGGCCCCAGGCAGTCAGGAGTGGGGAGAGGCAGGGAGGAATCAACTTACCCTCCCTCTTCTCCTGCCTCCTCCTGGCTGAATGAGGGCCGGAAGCAGGGGGAGGGGCTTCGTCATGTGCCCTACCTCACCCGGGGGAACGGTGATCCCCCGCAATCCCCCCCCGAAATGACCTCTACCTGTGGGAATCTGGTTTTGTGTTGCAAGATGACTCACCCCTCTGCAGAACGCCAGTGTGTTACCAAGGCTCACGGCGGACACGCACAGTCAGTTCACAAGGGAAGCCTTCGAGGTGTGTTGGGGCCTCCCTGGTTTCCTACCAGAATCCAAGAGGGTGACTTGGACCAAGCCCCCCCCCCCCCCCCCCCCCGCTGTCTTTTTTCTCTCCTGATTCCAGATTTTTCTTGTACGTTTATGCCGTGGAAGCTGAGCCGTGGTGGGCCCTGCGGTCTTTTGGAATTGCTGAGCCTCTCACGGAGGATTCCTGCTAAGTTTGCAGGAGGCCATCCTAAGAGGCATCCTGGAAATCACGGGGGGGGGGGGGGGGGGGAGAAAGCCAGAGTGTCACCTAGCCCACCCCGCAGCCTCCCCCTTGGAAGTACCACGTGCAGCACAACAAAGTTCCCTCTAAGCTGAGTCAGTGTGAGCCAGCTCACAGTTCTTTAGCCTCCAGCTCCTACACATTTCTGTCTGAGCTGGGGAAGGAGGGCTCCAGAGCAAACTAACTTATGCAGCAACCAAATTGCTCGCTCACAGCTTTAATGCCAGTAGCTCACAAAGTAGGATTTTTGCTCACAGGACTTCATTGCTTAGAGCAGCGGTTCTCAACCTTTGGGGGTCGAACGGCCCTTTCACAGGGGTCGCCTAAGACCATCGGAAAACACACATTTTCGATGGTCTTATGATAGGGCTCCCAAGTCTCGCCAAATCGCGTCTCTTTGCAGAATCCCTGCCAAATCGCATCTCTTTGCAGAATCCCTGCCGCGGGGACGGCGAGACGCATTGCACCCGCCGTCGCCAGGACATGACCCCAATTTTATGGTTGGGGGCAGGGATCTTTTTGTAGAAAAAGCCCAGCAGGAACTCATTAGCATAATAGGCCACACCCAACAGCAGGAACTCATTAGCATATTGGGCCACACCCCTGACATCGCATCTCATTAGCACATTAGGCCGCACCCCCGTGTTACCGTAAGTGTGGTTATCCAGCCACACCCACCTTTTGCTTGTTATTCTGTTTACCTTGTTTGTTGTCAAAACCCAGGGCCTTTTTTTGTAGCAGGAACTCCTTTGCATGTTAGGCCACACACCTCTAATTGTAGCCAATCCTAATGCGTTTCTGCTGTTGGGTGTGGCCTATTGTGCTAATGAGTTCCTGCTGGGTGTGGCCAACTTGGGAGCCAGCCGGAACTCCGTTCCTGTGCGTTCCTGCCCCAAAATAGCCCTGTATTAAAGGAGGAACTGTATTAAAGGGTCGCGGCATTAGGAAGGTTGAGAACCACTGGCTTAGAGGGAGCATTGGACACGAGCACAGTCCATCTGTCCCTTCTCAGCCTCATCTATTACCGCCTTGGCCATCTGCCCCCACAGAATCCAATAGCTCTGTGCCTCTGGCATAGTGGTTTGGGAGCCGGCCTCCCAGGGCACAGAGTGGCACAACCGCAGGAGAGGAATCCGCTGCTCAGGAGCGGGGGCTGGTGGTGAGGATGGGTACAGCCCGAGCGCTGGGTGCTTACAGTCGGAGTCGGTGGTGCTTGGGTAGCCATCGGCTGAAGTGATAAGCCACGTGAGCCAGGAAGAAATGGATCATGGCCGGCTACCGAGGACCTGCGAAGAAAGAGCAGAGTCTGTTTAGGGTTGGCCCCCTAATCCAAGTGGGATTGTAATAGGGTTGTTATGGGGGTGGAGCCTAGGGAGGGCGGGGCTTGGGGAGAGGATGGGCCTCAGCAGGGTGTGATGTCACAGAGCCCCCCCTCCAAAGCAGCCATTTTCTCTAGGAGATCGGATTTCTGTCACTGGGATATCCTTTGCAATTCTTGGTGATCTTCAGGCCCCAACTGGAAGTTGACAAGCCCACTCCCAGTCCTGGAAGATGAGGGGGCACACGCAGGCAATGCTCCCTCTAAGCTGTGGAGTCTTGTGAGCAAAAATTCTACTTGGCGAGCTGCTGGCATTAAAAGTTGTGAGCCAGCGATTCGGCTGCTGCATAGATCAGTTTGCTTTGGAGCCCTCCTTCCTGAGCTAGGACAAAAATCTGTGAGCTGGAGGCTAAAGAATGGTGAGCTAGCTCACACTAATTCAGCTTATAGGGAACACTGCACACAGGCCTACGCTTATTAGTTGCTAATCCCTAGCTTTGAAGAGCCCCATAATCTGATAAAGGCAAGAGTGCCCCTGAGCATGGCATAAAAGCCAGTGCAGGGAGCTGCTGCAGCAGCAGGGTAGCGAAAAGAAGGGGCAATGCTAAGGAAGATTGTGGGATCAGATCTCATCGCTGCCACAAGCTGGCTAGGAGGCCATTGTCAAGCCAGTTTGGTGTAGTGGTTAAGGGCATGGACTCTAATCTGAGAGAGCCGGGTTTGATTCCCCACTCCTCCGTGTGCAGCTGCTGGATGACCCTGGGTCATTCACAGTTCTCTCAGAGCTGTTCTCTCAAGGGCAGTTCTCGAGAGAGCTCTCTCAGCCCCACCTTCCTCACAGGGGGTGTCTGTTGTGGGGAGGGGAAAGGAGATTGTAAACCGCTCTGGGACTCTGAGTGAAGGGTGGGATATAAATCCAATCTCTTCTTCTCCCTCAGTCTTGCTTTCCCCCATGAAATACGGAGGGGGGGGGGAATGGTGCTGCCCCACTTTGCAGGGCTGCTGAACGGGTGGCAACCAGCTGCGCGTAAACACCCAAAGCGCTGTATGAATGATGACGACGCAGGGAGCGCCCCCTCAATTCAGGCTGCAGCTCACACAAATACCTGAGGGCCAGGGTTGCCAACTCCAGGTTGGGAATTTGGGGGGGGGGTGGAGACTGGGGACGGCAGGTTTTGGGTAGAGGACAGACCTCAGGGGGTACAACGCCACACAGTCCACCCTCCAAAGCAGCCACTTTCTCCAGGGGGACGGATCTCTGCCGTCTGGAGATGCGTTGTAAGGCCGGGGTGCCTCCAGGCCTCACCTGGAGCTTGGCAACCGTGCCTTAGGAAGCGTATAACCCCTTGCGGGGAGAGCGGGATAGAAATCCAATGCTAAATACATAAATGAATAAATGCAAAAGCGCGGTGACGAATAAAGGCGGCGGACCCGCCAAGCATGTGCAGAGTGCATCCCCCCCTCGCCCTACCCACGCTTCGGGCAAAGGTCAAACGTCTGTGCATCTCTGCCCTGGGCCCACGCACCCGGGAATCCAGAACAGGGGCCCCTGAGCGTGTGTAGAGTGCCACCTGTGCAAGGCCACCGAGGGACTCGTGCCCCTGCCCGGGATACTCTTTGCAAATTGCACCGGCTCGCCTCCGCAGCCTACCTGGTGCGCCGTCCCACAGTGACGGGGCTTCAGCCGGGCCGCGGCCTCCCCGGAAGCGTCTCCGGGACTGCGCCCAGCGGCCCTCGACGGCAGCCCTCCTTGAGGACTAGCGCCAATTTGCTTCGTTTCCAAAGAAGAATGATGGAACCCGGGTTCAGGCTCTGCAGAATGCCGGTCTTGCACTACTGACCACGCACTGCCCCTTCCCCGAAAACCTGCCCTCCTCACACTCCGCTCCCCAAATCTCCAGGTGCTGAGCTGGCAACCCTAGCTCACTGAGGAGAAGAAGAAGCAGGGATTGGATTTATACCCCGCCCTTCACTACCGAAAGGAGAGAGTGGCTTACAACATCCTTTCCCTCCCCCTCCCCACAACAGGCACCCTGTGAGGTAGGTGGGGCTGAGAGAGCTCTTGACAGAAACTGCTCTTTTTACAAGGACAGCTCTTATCAGAACTACGGCTTGCCCAAGGTCATCCAGCCAGGTGCAAGTGTCTCCCAGATTAGAGTCCACGCACTTCACCACTACTCCAAACTGCCCCCCTCCAAAGCAACTGTTCTGCAGATGAGTTTAATTCCAGAAGATCTCCAGGTCCCACCTGGAGGTTGGCAGCTCTACCTCGGTTTCATGAAAACACCTGGAGACTGTGGGGGGGTGGATCCGGGAGAGGGCGGGGTTTGGGGAGGGGAGGGGCCGCAGACTGGCTGGTCCAGTGCCACAGAGTCCACCTTCGAAGCAGCCGTTTTCTCCAGGGGAGCTGATCTCTGTCAGCTGGAGGTCAGCTGTAAAAGCGGGAGATCTCCAGGCCCCACCTGGAGGCTGGCAACCCTAAGGGGGGTCAAAAATAATTGGCCCTCTGATCGGCAGTTCTCAAGGAGCACCATCCCCTTCCCTGCACTTCCTCGTCCCAGCCCAGATCCCAGTCCAGATCCGGCCACATCTGGCGGAGAGTGACATCCCCCCCCCCCCCCGCATCTCCCCCAGGTTTCGCTTTCTGTCCCAGCAGAAGAGACTCCCAGATTCCGTTTCCCTCCCCTGTTCATTTTAGAGCACTTTGTGGAGGGCTGAAAATGACTTCTCTTCCGCCTTTTCCTCCCTCCCCCCCCCTCTCTTGCAGCAACACGCTGCTGTGACTCGGTTCTCCCTTTGCGCCGGTGGCTACCGAGAAGGCCGATGGAAGATCCCGACAACCGGAGCGAGGTGGTCCTTCTGGCTTGCGGCTCTTTCAACCCGATCACCAACATGCACCTCCGGCTCTTCGAACTGGGGAGGGACTGCCTGAACGACACTGGTAAATAACGGTGCCCCCCCCCACACACATGTATAAAACCCATTTGTGGTTTAGAGTCTTGCAGTCAGCAGGTCTACCCTTCCAGCCTCTGTCTGGACCCCTCTCTTTGTCCCATCCGGGCCCGGCTAGGGGCTGCCTCCCCTGTGAGCGACCCACAGACCCTCACTCCCTGACTTTAGTTATTGATTAAATGTATAGCCCTGCTTTTTCAGTCCTAGCAAGCTTCCCCGACAAGACGCCCTTACCCCGCCTTGCTAGGAGAGCACCTAAATGCAGGACCAGTCAATTAGATGGAGAACGACACACCAGAAGCAGGGCGGACGCAGTGCCGAGAGGAGGAAACCGGCTTCCGGCTCTGTTTGCTTTGGTGGCGGCAGAGAGTAGGCGCTGGGGGGGACAGGGGACGGGGTGTGTGTGCCGTGCCAGGGTCTCGTGCCAGCCTGTGTGGATTTCCAGATGCCGCTGCTGGAGTCATACCCAGTAATGGACACCGTTGCTTACATGATTTATTTATTCGAGAGATTGGTGCCTGGCGCTCTCAGCAAGACGCCCTCCAAGGCAGCCTTCAGTGTTCCACACTGAAAACAACAGCAGGGCTGTCAGTTAATAGCATTAAAAAGGCCCCCCACAAAAAAAAAAACCACTGGGCAAAAGCATTAAAATGCTGCTCCAAATCCCAGTGGACGTCTCACATAATGAGAAGAGTCCCTGCATACGGCAGTAATGCTGGGAAAAGCGGAAGGCAGCGAGGGCCGACTCAGCCAAGGAAGCTACAAAGGCCCTCGGTGTGCGAGACCTGACTGAGCACAGCTGAGCAGGAACGTTTGGGAGGCCTTTAATTTATTGGGTCACCATAAGTCAGACGTGATTTGATGGCACTTAACAGACACACGGAGCTCAAATGGTTAAGACGCTAAACCGCAGGCTGTGGAAGGTCGGTCGTTCAGCTGTCCGAGACCTGAGTGTGCCGCATGACGGAGTGAGCTCCCGTTTCTAGTTCCGGCTCCTGCCAACCTAGCAGCTCGAAAGCAAGGAATTGCAAGTAGATAAATAGGTACCACTTTGGTGGGAAGGGAACAGCGTCCTGTGCGCCTTGGTGTTTAGTCATGCCGGCCACATGACCACGGAAACGTCTTCAGACAGTGCTGGCTCTTCGGCTTTGAAACGGAGATGAGCACCGCAACCCTAGAGTCGGACTCGACTGGCTTTCGAGCAAGGGAACCTTTACCTTTACCTAACAGACGCACACACTTAGTTTTGCAAAGCAGTTTAGGAGAAACCATATTGCTTTGTTGCTTTGTGATCACGTGAAGAGTGGGAACCTCCACCGTTAATTTTGTGGCATCTTTCTTCGAAACACTGGATCGGGGCGGGGAGTGAAGATGTTATTGCCAGCTTCTAAACTCACAGGGAATTGCTTTGCTGAGATGAGGGGGGAGAGGGGCAGTGGCTGTTGTGGGGCATGCCTCACATTTCAGGGGGCAGAGCCCCGAAATGCCCCGCCGTGGCTACGGGCCTGGACACAGCGTAAGGAACTTCCCGTGTTTGGAAGCCTGGAGAATCCTTTTGGGACCCTTATGCTGGGTAACTGAGCCGAGCGAGGGATCAGACTGTCAACCTTTTCTGTTTGGTGCAGTGGTTAAGTGCGCGGACTCTGACCTGGGAAGAACCGGGTTTGATTCCCCACGCCTCCACTCGCAGCTGCTGGATGACCTTGGGCAAGCCATAGTTCTGTCGGAGCTGTTCTTGAAAAAGAGCCGTTTCTGCCAGAGCTCTCTCAGCCCGGCCTGCCTCACAGGGTGTCTGTTGTGGGGAGGGGAAGGGAAAGGAGTCTGTAAGCCGCTCTGAGACTCCTTTGGGTAGTGAAGGGTGGGGTATAAATCCAGTCTCTTCTTCTTCTTCCATGCAGGGAAATATAAAGTGGTCAAAGGGATCCTTTCGCCCGTGGGGGATGCCTATCAGAAGAAAGGCCTGATCAGTGCCAGGCACCGGGTGACCATGGCGCAGCTGGCCACGGAAAGCTCTGATTGGGTGGGAGTGGATGACTGGGAGAGCAGCCAGAATGAATGGCAGGAGACCGTCAAAGTGCTCAGGTATGATTTACGGCAGGACCGACAAACTGCATTCATCGGAGCCTGAAAGGTGAATTTGAAAATAACCGGGGAGTCCTGTAAGATTATTATAACCAATCTCTACGGTTATACATTTGAATGGTTTAATATTATATGATAACACTGTATGATAGTTTTTGTATGAAATATCAAGGGCATTATTTTATGTATGACTTCTGTTATAACAAGCTGCTGTGTTAACATCTTATAAAAATTTCTACGCGGTTATTCATGTTTTATCAAAAGATAGAGAAGATCGATGAGATAGGATAAAAATGGGATGATATTATAAGAAAATGGTAGAATATGTCGAGTAGGTCGTATATAGTGATTCTTTAAACTATCATGCGATATATATCTTTAAGCTATCACATTATGTACATTTCTTTTTTTGTAAGTTTATCAATTTTCAATTTTATAAGAAACAAAGATTAATTAACAGTATAAACTTTAACAGTAAAGGTAAAGGTTTCCCTTGCTCAAAAGCCGGTCAAATCCGACTCTAGGGTTGCAGTGCTCATCTCTGTTTCCAAGCCGAAGAGCCAGCGCTGTTCGAAGACGTTTCCGTGGTCATGTGGCCAGTATGACTACATGCCGAGGCACATGGAACACTGTTACCTTCCCACCGAAGCGGTACCTATTTATCCGGAGCAAGAGAGAATAGATCTGCTCCATCTTCTACATAACAGCCCTTCAGATACTTGACGACTGCAATCATGTCCCCTCTAAGCCTTCTCTTTCCCAGGCTAAACAGACCCAACTCTTTCAGCCTTTCCTCAAAAGACTTGGATTCCAACCCTCTCACCATCCTGGTTGCCGTCTTCTGGACATGCTCCAGCTAGAGAATGGGACACACTTTCTGCGCTCCGTACACCTTCTTGCAAAGCTGGCAGCCTAGAAAATCAGTCTGTTCAAAGCTGCTGGTCGCAGACAACTACTTCCTTTGAATCTTAGCCTTGATTTTAACATTCCTAGCCTGCACGGTTTCCAAAATATGGTCGCAAGAGTGCAGGTGTAGCCTTGTGAATCTCTCTCTCTCTCTCTCTCTCTTTTTTCTTTCTTTCACATAGCCAGAGAAATTGCCCAATATGTTTTCAGAGTGCAGGATTTCAACACCCCCTCCGCTTTCTGTAAAATCTCGATTTCTTTGGTAGGTACCATCGACAGAAGTTGAACCAGTCGTATTCCACGAACAACTTTGATGAAGTAGCTTCTTTGAGCAAGCCAGCCCGAAAGCGGAAACGGGAGGCAGGTGGCCGTCTTCCTGTCCGAAGGAATCAACCGAGTCCGGAAACTAAAGGTCAATTTTATATCCAACTCTAGGAGAAAACAGATGGGAGCGGGGTCCCCCTTGATTCCAAATGATGGAGCATTTGGGTGAAAACATACAATTTGAAATGTGTGCTAGACAGAGAGAGAAGTGACCAAACATACCTAGTGTCCTGGGAGTGCATAGATTTCCAGTGCATTGGAGGAGAAGCCAGCTTGGCAGGTGTCTATTGGCTCATGCTTGTAACCTCGTCAACCTGTCTTCAGCCACTCAGCACTCAGACCCATTTTGCAACTTTGAAATTTTAGTAATTTGGGGAGTGTTAGTAATTAACTCAGTGCTATGATGTCAAGAGGACACTCCCCCTCCTTTAACTAAAGCTTAGCATATCTCCTGATTGTGCAGTTGTGATTCTGCAGGACCGTAGTGTGGGAGAGGAATAAAATACAGAATTTGGTACAAGTTACAAAGATTCAGCTTCCTTGGAAATCTTAGATTTTCTTTTTTCTAAAAAAGTTTCTAGTTCTCGAGATATAGTTCTAGCGCTTGAAGATATGCTTGAAAGTTTAAGACAGTTTTAAACAGCGCTGTTTACGAAGCCAGAGGGGCAGCTAAGAAGAAGAAGAGATTGGATTTCTACCCCGCCCTTCATTACCCAAGGGAATCTCAGTACGGCTTACAAACTCCTTTCCCTTCCCCTTCCCACAACGGACACCCTGTGAGATAGGTGGAGCTGAGAGAGCTCTGAGAGAACTGTCCTTGTGCGAACAGCTCTGACAGAACTCTGTCTTGCCCAAGATCATCCAGCAGGTGCAAGTGGACGACTGGGGACTCAAACCCGGTTCTCCCAGATTAGAGTCCGCACACTTAACCACTACCCCAAACTTGCTCTCGATTTTTCGAGTCCACAGGCAGAAGGCCCTTGCCTTCCCACCCTTCAGTGATCAGCCAACACAAAATTAATCTTTCAAGACAGTAAAACCTGGAGAATAAAACTGTGCAGCTTACCGCAAGAGACCCTGACCTGATAGCCCAGCCTAAGCCAATCTCGTCAGATCTTGGAAGCTAAGCAGGGTCAGCCCTGGTTAGAGCTTGGATGGGAGACCACCAAGGAAGCCCAGGGTTGCTGCGCAGAGGAAGGCCATGGCAAACCACCTCTGTTCGTCTCTTGCCTTGAAAGCCCTGTTGGGGTCGCCTTACATCAGCTGTGACTTGACAGCAAGAAACTGAAAGAAAACACACAAGGCAGGATACAGAATTGCTGCCCTGACCTGTATAGTCAAGGCAAGCCCGATCTCGTCACATCTCGGAAACTAAGCGGGGTCGACTGTGGTGAGTACTTGGATGGGAGACCTCCTTGGAATGCCAGCAGTCGGGAGGCGGGGGCAGGCTTTATCCAGCCACCTCTCTGAATATCCTCCAGGCTCCCAGTAGGGGGTCAGTCGCCAGAGGTCGCCATGACTTCTGGGTGCGTACACACACACACACACACACACACACACACATTTTAAAAAATACCCCAAACATAAAGGCTGCAGAATCGCTCACTTTGCGCAACACGTGCTGATTGTAGAATCCAGCAGTTTCTGGGTACAAAACTGAGATAAACCCAGATGTGGAATTTAAATCAATATAGTACAAACGGTCCCAGTTTTAGTTTCCGACTGGGGAAAACGCAGCAACTATGCCGGGCTGTGTGTCTGATGCTTGTCTTCTTTGCGACCTCTTTCAGGCGTTCCCCAGCTGAAGCTGCTCTGCGGCACAGACATCTTGGAGTCGTTTGCAGTCCCCAACCTCTGGAAGCCGGAGGACATTTTGGAAATCCTGACCGACTACGGCATGGTGTGCATCACCCGGCCCGGGACCCAGGCCCGGAAGTTCATCTACGAATCCGACGTCCTCTGGAACCACAAGGAGAACATTCACCTGGTGGAGCAGTGGGTCGCCGACGACACCTCGGCCACCAAAATCCGGAGGGCGCTGAGGAGGCAGCAGAGCATCCGATACCTGGTGCCCGACAGCGTCCTCGCTTACATCGAGAAGCACAAATTGTACACCGCAGAGAGCGAAGACCAGAACAGCGGGGTCATCCTTGCGCCTTTGCAGCGGTACACTAAGGAAAGCAACAGACCCTGAGCCGTCCATCTTGGGTGGGCAGAAGGAACGGGCCACGCTTTGCAAGAAATGTGTGTGGTAGCAGCCTACAGCTTTGGCCCTTTCACTGTCCGCTGAATAGGATCCTTTGCTGGGATTGGGGCTTTTACGAAGTGATGCCAACTAACCAACCATGTGGCATGGCCTGCTCTTGTGCTTTTCCCAGCATCTTTCGTTTGCAGCGATCGGCAGGTAAGGCTTGCCCACGGCATAGAGGCGAGCACAACTGCGTTCCCTGGTCTAGAAACCCAGCTGCTGTTAAAGGCACAGGAGCCGTGGCCAGCAAAGGAGTTGGCAACCCCATGCTTTGCACTGCACCGTAGACGCCGCTTGCGCTTGTGAGCAGTGGGCCTGACCGTGCCCGTCAGACAATCCTCTCTTCTTGGCAGCAGCTGGGATCGGCTGCGTAGTGCTTTTTTGTGTGTGTGAAGCTGCTGTGAATCGGGACACTTGTGGTCGTGAGCCGGCCCAGGCCTAAATATAGTCCTCAAGATAAGCACGGAGGTCACGCGGTAGCTGAAATGTCCCAGTCCCGACACAGTCGTGAAGACGAAAAAGCTGGAATGACCGTAGGGCAGCCAGCAGGCTTGGTGGAAAATATTCTTCCCCTTTAACAGAGGCTGACTGCTTGGAAACTGGCTGCTGAAGCTTTTCAGGGCAAGGAGAGGTAAACAACATCCTCAGAAGCCTCTATTAAAGGGCCAGGATTTCTTTTATCTGCAGGCTGTTGGCGGCCCTAGTCTGAAGTTTGGGTGGAACTTGAAAACCATGTTTTGCTGTGATTTCCTGGGGATGTCACTCTAAGCCCCGGGGTCTCTGTGGTGAGAACTTGATTTCCTTTGTACAACCGAGTCAGGTGTAGACCTGATGTGGCAATAAGCTTGTGGCTCTAGCCTGGCCCTTAAGAATGCAGAACAGAGTTGGGAGTCCGGTGGCGCCTTTAAGACAAACGCTGTGTTATTCTGGGTATGGGCTTTCTTGCTAATGCACACGGAAGCTTCTACCCAGAATTAATCCTAAAGGTGCCCCCGCTGGACTCAAACTTTGTTCCGCTGCTTCAGACCAACATGGCTGCCGCCCTGAATCGATCTTCAGAATGCAGTTTGAGCTGCCTGCTGGAAGCCAGACTTGCCCAATTGGGCGGCAACTAGATCACAGAGCTGTGAAGCTAGAGTCTTCTTTTCTTTGCCAGGGACCTGACCCCCAAATGGCATCTTTCACGAGGAAACAGGACGCCGGGGCTGTGTGTTACCCTTCTCATTGCTCAGCGCTGTGGATACGACCCTGTTACCCTTTGGTTTGGGGTTTTGTGAAGAGATGTCTTGATGGGACGCTGAGATGGGTGGTGCTCCAAAATGGGCATGGCGAGCTGTGGAACCGGGTGGCCCTCCAAGAAAGGAGCGGCATCGGGTGCTAAGAGACGACTGTTATGCAGACAACATTTCTGGGGGGGGGACCCCGCGCAGTACTACTGAATAAATGCATCCTCCTTTTTCTAGTCCTCTTTCACACGGGAATCCGATCGTGAGAGTGTTTACCGGGAAGTAAATTCTACTCCTTTGAAAGGGTTTGTTCCTGTGCAAGAGAGCATAGGGCGGCAGCCTGAAAGCCACAGCAGATGCACTCAACTTGTGCCGAGGTTCATCCTGTGCAAGAGAGCATAGGGCGGCAGCCCGAAAGCCACAGCAGATGCATATTAGGAGATGTCATCCACTCAACTTGTGCCGAGGTACGGGTGGATCATACCTGAGCTGTGTGCATGCTGCAGGCCACGGCATCCGGGCGTGGTGACCCGTACATGCGGGCCTCCCCACCAGAGATTCTGAAATGCTGGATTTGTGATTAATGTTCTAGTTTGCACCAAGGTGCTAAAAGGTGTATCTGGGGTGTACCACTCCAGGATGTAAGCGGCAGATAATGTGACCGCCATAGTTAAAAAGGGGATAGCCCCTCTTCCTGGCCTGCTAGTTTTCTACATGCAAGGATTCTCGCCCAGGCACTGAGGGCTAGGGGCCTTGGTTTTCAGGTCGGCCTCCACAGCTTCATTTGGAAGGAAGCCCTCCAGCCCCCTGCCATGTCTTACTACATTTGCTTGTGGCGGGTGGACTGCATCCAGTTGGGTGGATGACCAGTCCTGTGGGGGCCTGATTTAAACCCCCCCCCTTTGCCATGAGCAGCTGAGAGCATGCTAGCTCCCAAAAAGTAAAGTTTTACAAAGCTAATGTGACAAAAGGAGAATGCTGCTCTGATGGAAAGCTGGCATCTTTGAGAAGGTCACAGGGTTTTGTTCCGTAGGTCAAACATGCACCGTTGACATTACATTACATTACACATTGGATTTCTATACCGCCCCTTTCCGTAGACTCGGGGTGGTTTACATAGTTTGTACAGTTTTTCTAACCTAGGGGCACATAGACAGGGGAGGTGAATTCCTTACCTAGGCACCCCCTAATTTCGGCAGGGTCTTCTTTTCTTCTTAGCTTTTTTCCACGGCGGTTCTTGCTTGGTGCTGGCGATGTTTTTACTGACGCAGGTCTTTGCTAGACGCAGGCGCAGGTCTTCCGTTCTTTTTTTCAGCAGTGACCCCTGACATGAAGTCAGAGACGGGGTTTGTTCTTGCCTGTTCATCAGGCCTCCAAGCTGTGTTCTTTCCTTGCCTATCTGAGCCTGCCCCACAGCTTTGGTGATCTTTTTGATTGTTACAGATCCAGCGTGGATGTAAACCCACCTGCTCGCCTCAGCCCAGTTAGGCGAACGAGAGCCACCACCGGCTCACGTTCTCCTTTTGCCCCTTCGCTTCTCCTCTCCTGCACGTGAGTTCCCCAGCTCACAGAGCTAACCACGGTTAGCCTTCTGTCTGTTCTGAGCTGGGGGCTAACCGTGGCTAGCTCAAACCAGAATGTGCTAACTCTGGTTGGCAGCTAGCGCTGGTCAGTGTTCAGATTACTGCGCGCACAAAGCACCTAGCCATAGTTCTGGAGAAGGGAGAGAGGGAGGATTTGTATACAACACAGGAAAGGGGGAAAGAAGAAGAGCCACCATGGTGGGGGAAATTCAGTCACCTAACCACAGCTGGAGAACAGGGGGCCTTGCTTCTGCACTGACTTCTACGGACAAATGCTGTTTGTGGGGAAACTGTGTGCTTTTCCTTCTTAGCTGTGTCGATTTAGTGCGAGGAGAAACAAGCAATAAAAATGTGGTCTGCCGATGATACCAGCCCCCCTGCCTCAGCAGGGTCCAGCTGGGAATTCCATTTTTACCCCGGCCGTCTTCCGTGTCGCAGACTTTACACATTGCTCTTCCCCCAAATCCTGCCCTGTTAAACCCTAATGCTGGAACTTTGATTTCTCCCTGCATTTAGTGCCGCTTGAGAAAGCCCGGAGATCAAGCAACACTGCGCAATGGAACAATGTGAACAAATGGTAATAAAATAAGTTCTGCGCAATCGGCTGAGTGTGTTACTTTCACGGCAGCACCCCTATCTGGGATCGTCCCAGAATGGCATCACAGCAGAAGGCGGCGAGAGAAGAAAACGTTTGGGGTTGTCAACTTCCTGGAAGAAGAATGTCCTGTCTCTTTAAGAGAGGCATGCTGGCATGTTATTGACCAGGTGACATGATTTGCCTCCCTGCCCTGAAAACCTTCAGCCGTCCCTGTCTCCACACGGGAAGCCTCTGTTAAAGGGACATTTCCCCCCTTTTAGGTTTTCCTTGCTGCCGCAATGTGCAGAACTGCGGCAATGGTCCCAATTGACTGGGGAGGGGTGTGTGATTTTTGCTTAATTATGCCTTTCCTTACACTGGAGGCTAGAGAACAGTGCCAAGAACAGGCAGCCAACTGGAGGGCTGAGTGACCCACTCCTGCATTGGTTCACACACATGTGCAAAGCTTCGGTTGGAGGAATGTGGCCAGAGTTCAAAGTCCCCAGTGGCTCAACGCATAAGGGCAGTGAACAACAGGAACTTCCTTTTACACCCACGCATTGTCAGATAGAGGTATATATAGAACTCTGGCAAAAGCAGATTTGTCGTGTAAAGTTTAGCACGTGGCCATTGCTTCATCCTATTTGTAGCCAGGGGGGGGGGGGTATATATCTCGGCTGAAGGTCACCGGGCAGAGGAGCACAGGCCACTGGGAGTTCGCAACTTTGGCCTTGCAGGAAAGACTTCATGGCAAGGGGAAGAAGTAGCTGCTCGTCAAAAAAGGAATGTCTGCAGGACACCAGTTTGCAGGGCTGGCTCGAGGTGTTTCTGCACCCTCGGCAAGGCTGCCAACCTCCCAGTGGGGCCTGAAGACCTCTGGAGCCAGCCACCCTTTTCTGCCACCGCCTCCACCCCCCCCCCCCCCCCCCCCCCACCCCCCGGCAGCTGTCGGACCCAGCAAGCACGGCCCACACATTACTGCAGATTTCTCTCGTGCTCTGCTCCTGAAGGCAGTTTGGGAGGGAGGTGGGGGGGATCCTGTCTCCAGGTGGGGGATGCTCACCGGATCCCTCTCCCCAATTAGCGAAGTGCTGACATTTGGAGAGCTGCTCACGGGCTTTTGGCGGGGGGGGGGAGGCACAGCTCAGCGCCCCATCCAGGGCCCAGCGCTCTAAGCGAATGCCTAGTTCGCCTAGTGGGTGAGCCGGCCCTGCCAGCTTGCCTCCTCACAGCTGGCGAGAATACTGTTCCAATTACCAGTTACCCTGTAAGTGCAGAGGCAAGAAGGAGGCCAGATATCGATGCATCACGACGGGTTGTCCAACTCTGGATTGGGAATTCCTGGAGATTTGGGGGGTGGAGCCTGGAGAGGGCGGGGCTTGGGAAGGAGGACTTCAGTGGGGTATAATGCCGTAGAGTCCACCTGCTAAAGCAGCCATTGTATCCCACTGAACTGATAACTGTCGCTTGGGGATCTCCAGTCATCATCAGGAGGATGGGAACCCTATCCGGCACAGAGCTGCCAAAAGGCCTGGAGGAAAATGTCCTGTCCCTTTAATAGCACCTTAAAGTGTGGCACTAAATAGACCCTTGGAGCTTTTTCATGATGAGGAGATCAGTAAAGTCACCTGGTAAATAACATCCCATAAAGCTTCTTATTAAAGAGACAGGCAATTTCTCCAGGAATGTGGCACCCCCGCCCAAGACCAAAAAGATGACATGCATTCCCCAGGATGCAGAACGCTTTCAATTGTCCTTAGGCTCTGTACAGTCCTAGGTGACCTGGTCACTGGAACCCATGAAACGATCATCATGCAGCGTGTACAGCAGTGTGTTTCCCTCACCTGTGAGCAAACCTCCCCACCCTGTCTGGTCATCTGGAGTCCAGACCTGAGGCTTTCTATACCGCAAGCTATTACCACCACCACCACCACCAATGCTCCCTCTAAGCTGGGGAGTCTTCTGAGCAAAAATTCTACTGTGAGCAAAAATTCTACTTTAAGGCAACTTGGCTACTGCCTAAATCAGTTTGCTCCGGAGCCATCCTTCCTGAGCGAAGACAAAAATCTGTGAGCTGGTGGCTAAAAAAACACTAACAGCTTAGAGGGAACATTGCCCCTCACTCCCCTCCCAAGATCTTCCCCCCACCATTATTTAAGAGAGAGGAAACAATGTCTCAGCAAGCTTTGAACTTCTGGATCTGATTGCCAAGAATCATCAGCTCAAACTGCGCGAAGTGACCAGTTTCCCACCTTTCATTGCCACGGATAGCTTTGAATGGGAATCCACATTTGACCCCCAAAAAAAGAGCCAAGAAGGGGTTAAACCGCTTTCTGTCCCTCCCTCCTCTCCTGTGACTCAGGGACCAGTCCCATTGACTCACACCAGAGATTGCAACCGGAGTGAACTTTCTCCTCCAAATTCCAGCTCCCACCCCCTGGCTAGCCAGAAACCCACGCCCACCGGGGCCAGCTGCAAGCCCTTCTCCCTTCCCCATATATAGAGGAACTGGGGAGGGCGATTTGTGTGCTCAACTGTTGGTCTTCTCCCTCCCGTGTGCTGCCTGTTTGCCATCATGCCTGTGGATTTTAGTGGCACCTGGAACTTTGTTTCTAGCGACAATTTTGAAGGCTATATGTTGGCCTTAGGTAAGATACTAGAGCTTGAGGTCCATTTCTTTCTTCTCTCATGACTTCTGTTGAAGCCCTTCCTTATCTGGGTAAACTCTTTCTCTGTTCAAAAGCAATCTCTTACAAATTCTGGACACTGTTGTACTGTGTATATAAGCTATGTTTTTGTAACGAAAACTTGCAAATTTCTACTCTTTTTTTCCGCCTTCCTGTTCTAACATGTCCTTGGCTTGGCAACATGCTGGGTTACTTGCAAGTCTGGCTGTAAAATGTGAAGATGTCCTTAGACCATACCAGGTGTTTTCTCCTCCCACATTCCGTCTAGCTCTGTGTTTGATCTGCCTGCTGGTGATTCACCAAGGTCTTGGAGAAGACAGGTTTTGTTTAATATCTGCTCACTGAAGGCAATTGGTTTAGAAGGGAGTAACTCTATTTAGGATTAGAGCAGAGTTTGAGTTCAGTGGCACCTTTAAGACCAACACATTTTTATTCAAGGTATAAGCTTTTGTATGCGTGTTCACTTCTTCAAATACAGTGAAATGGAAATTACCAGTCTATGCATATAAGTAGAGGGTGAGCAGCAAATTAGCATACAGCATAATGAAGATGTTTAACAGATTCAAGGATCAAACAGGAACAGCAAGCTTAGTTTGGGTTTAACTCTGGAGGTGGGGGAACATAGTGAAAGAAATATGTCAAATTGGAGACAACTGTCCATCAGTCTCTAAATTTGACATATTTATTTCCTTTGCTATGTTTTCCCCCACTGAGTTAAGTTTGTTATTCCTGTTTGATCCTTGTATCTGATAAAATCTTCATTATGCTGTAAGCTAATTTACTGCTCACCCTCTACCTATATGTATTGACTAGTAATTTCCATTTCATTGTATCTGAAGAAGTGTGTGTGCACACAAAAGTTTATATCCTCAATAAAACTCTGTTGGTCTTACAGGTGCCACTGGACTAAAACTTTGTTCTGCTGCTTCAGACCAACATGGCTACCCACCTGAATCCTATCTGTTTAGGACTGTACTATAAAGGTCCCTCCTAATTGCCATTTACAACTGGGGTCATACTGTTGAATAGTGACTTTCTACTAAGCCACACTATAATCCTGTATATGCTTCTACACCTGTCTAACTGGTTTTAAGTGAGGGGTACTTTAAGAAGCTAATGGCAAT